AATTGCTACGTGTATTATGGGTTGGGGTTGGTGTATATGCAAGGTGATGTGTGTATATATGTTTGTTATGGGTTAAGCATGCAGGTAAAACTAGCTTATTTCCATCTTGTTGTTTCAGGTATTATATCTTTGATACTTTAACTAGGTTGTGAAACTCTTTGACTGTTCTTATTCATGTTAATAGTCGTGTTGAGTTTGTTGTGATATTGGTTAGTAGAACATTGAAATGTTGATTTGGCTATTGGTGCTAAAGTGATTATTATTTTTCATACGGCGAGTTATGTTCAATTACTCTTCTTCATATTGTTTGTGCTTCCCACCTTGTTTAGTACTGCTCTACATGTTTGTACTTGGTGAGGAACAATGAATTACACGAAGGATATTTCCGTTCTTATGAGGAAGAGTGTCATGCACAGAGGATATTTCTGTATTTCTTTATATTATTATTATTGCACAAAGGATATTTTCATGCTGGTTAGGATGAGAGTAAAATCACGAAGGGTAATGCCATTCCGTTTGATTGATATCTCTTATTTCTTGATTTTACTATATAGATTGAGAACTTGTCTGTGTTGTTTTATGATTGTTTTACCCAATTCTTGAACTTGAGTTATTGTTAAAGGCTTGATTAGTGTTATTTTGTAATTATAGTCATTACATTCCTTAGTTGCCTCTTTCTTTATCCCTCGCATTATTACTTCTTGCTATTACACTTGTTATATTTCTTATTATTTATTTTTCTTTCGTACTTGCTATTTTCCTTCATTACCTTAATTCCTATATCTCTCGATATATTTCCTCATTATATGACTGCTAAGGTTTATATGTATGTGTCTTGTCTTAGCTTCATCACTACCTCATTGGGATTACGCTTGATATTTATGGAGTACATTGGGTCGGTTGTACTCATACTACACTTTTGCACTTCTTGTGCAGATTTTAGCATCGAACCTAGTGGTACTTAGAGGACGGACTAGCTTGCTTTATTCATGAGACTTGAGGTAGTACTGTACTCTCGTCCGCAGGCCTTGATGTCACCCATCTTTTAGACTTTCTACTGTTTATTCATACTAAAAATGTATTTATCATTTCAGACGCCGTATTTAGTAATTATGTAGAAGCTCATGTAGTCAATGACACCAGTTCTTGGAGGTTTAAACAATTGTTGGTTTTAGTCTTGTTATTCATTACTAAGCTTTGTCCTTTATTTGATACCATGGTGTTTTATATCTAGTTTTGATCCTTTATTCTCGTTAAGTATTGGCTTGCTTAGCAAGCGGTGTTAGGCGTCATCACGATCCCTTGGTTGGTAATTTGGGTCGTGACAAATTCAAACTTTTGAATTCGTTAAATCCTCAAGTTCCATTTCCTTAAGTACTAGTGCCGAATTGTACCCTAGCCCCTTGAGTCCCAATTCGAACATACGTACAAGTAAAAAAATTATCATACAAACCTATTGAAAGTTTAAACCATGAATCTAAGCTTGTTTACCCATGTCATACAATTAGGAGAGTAGTATTCCAGAGAGTGCCATGAGCAATTCTAATATGAAAAAATTAGCAACCATAGGTAATTCAAATTAATGGTGATAATCAGAATAAACTCAATAGGATTGGTAAAACGACCACAACCCTGACATATTCATCTCATCTGAAGCCGGACTCATAAACATTGATTTCTCTTGTTTGATATTTTTATTAGTTTAATTCCTGCAATCGTATACTAATAACACACTTTAACCTTGGTGAGCTCCAACGAATAAAAAATTCTTAGTAAGCAGTTAATGATATGTTCCCGTGAGTTCGATATCCGACTCAAAGTTATTTTACTACTTGTTGATCATGTATATTTGCGCGTAATAGAGCGATAATTTGCAACTCTATTACGAGCTTCTTTTTCTTACACAATTAAAGAATTTTAATCCAAACCGTGAGATTAATGTTGCTCCTATTTGAGTTTTTCTACCTGGATTGAAACCTTAGCTTATTGGTTCCATATGGCAACCATATTGGAATTTGTTGTATCACATATTGTCTATATATGTCTGAGCGCACCCGCACCGTTCAATTTTGTGCCAATTTGGTTTGGGTTGATTTGATAAAGAAATTGCCTTAGCATGTTCGGGTTGGTGTAGCCTTGATATTTTGAACAAAAAACATGATAATAAGGTTAAACTCTCATTTAGAGTTTCCTCAGTATCAATTCCCTCTAAGCTAACTCTACTTCCAATCCAATAGTATTAGGGCTCGTTTGATACGAGGGATAAGAGATAATTAATCTCGGGATTAAATTTGAGATGAATTTATCTCATGTTTGGTTGGGATAAAATCACGATATAACTAATCCCGGAATTATAGTATTTTTTTTTTCCCTATGCAAGGATGAAATAATTAATCCCGACATAATTAGTCTGGAATAACTTGTTTCCAACCAAATGACCCCTTGTAGTCAGCATAATGTTATTCACGATGAAGTGGGAAAAAAATATTATGATAGCAGAGGCAGACACACTATAGGTTGAGGGATCAACGACATCCAAAACATTTGATAAAACTTTCATGTATACTTGTAAGTGTCTTAAAAACATAGTCAGATATTAGCACAACTCCCGTATCAATTTTTATGAGCAGTAATAAATTTATATTATGTATCATGGTACAGCGTGACCATCAAATCTTAGGTCCGCCTATGCAATGATTACGTACATAATAAGTTTTCATATAATACTTGTTCATGTTTCATGTTGATTCGTGAGCATATCTACTTTTCATACTCACAATGTATACTTTGGAGCCATCTCTTTCTTATTATAGCCGTAGCTTTATTCTATTAGACTTGAAAAACCTTTATTAATTCCCTATATTAGAAGTCTAGAACTAGCATTGATTTCAAGGTCCATGCTGCTGCAATCTCATTTTTCCACTTGTTCACTTCGATCAGGTCCCTGAATAATATAGTTGAAGGAATTGTCGATTCCCCAAGTAAGACAACGTAGGAGAAGACTACATAACGTATTTTACATTATATATAAAGAACTTAATGGTTATCTATTTTGAGATAGTCTTCTAGAATTTTCAGTCGATTAATAGTAACAAAAAATAGTCGAAAATGCCTCTCTTGTTTTAATTCGTCCTTTTGGGGTAGTATTGACAAGGAGGGACAGAGATAGAGTGTCGGGAGCGGATTTGGTGCCCAAACTCAATAGCTTTGGTTCGAACTCTGTACTTATCTTAAAAATATCATTAGTTATTTATTTATTTATTTATGTATTAATTTAAATTTTATTATGCTCGTCTATTTGTTCTCCTTGGGGTTCCATTCCATTCATTTCTAGATGTATTATATTTTGAAATAGGACAAAAGTAGTGGCAAATTTAAGAGCCCGTTTGGTCATGAAATTTATTTCACTTTTTTTGGAAAAAATTTCAATATTTTTCAAAATTAATGTTTAGCCATAAAATTTCAATTTCATTTATGATGAATATTGAAAATTTTCGAAAATTTAAAAAATTTTAAAAGGTTATTTTCAAAATTTTCACTCAGATCACTCACAAAAATTCAAAAACAATCCAAAATTATATTCATTTCCAAACACAATTCTAATTTTTAAATATCATTTTTACTTGAAATAAAATTTTATTTTTTTTCGAAATTTTACAATTTTTATGTCCAAACGCCCATTTAGACTAGACGGTAGTTTGGCAGAATTCACTGAATTTAGCTTAAGTATTCAACTTATTTATATTGATCATATAAAAAAGTATTACATTGTCAATATCTTATAACTTGTTGTAACACTTAGATATTCCTTGTTAATTTCAAGCTACTAATTCTATTTTTTATGAATAAAAATCTGTAATTATCTTTTTAATTACCTGATTGTATAAATATTCTGTTACATCATTGTATAGAGTAAAAAAGTTAAACTATGTACGTGTGTGTGTGTTAGAGAGAGAGAAATAGGCAGATTGAGATGTGGGAATGAAGATATTTCTTGGGTTTGATAATTATGGAGACGCCACTTGGCATTGATGAAGAAACAATGGCATAGCTTACGATAAACGAAAAGAGATCAGAAATTTCAGATCACAAAAATAGCTACTCATTAACCAAAAAGCAATTATATGTTTTCGAGTTCTCATTGGGACGTACTCATTGACGTGTATCAAACATTGTACGGTAAATACTATAGTAATAATAATAATAATAATAATTATTATTATTATTCTTGGTGGAGTTACCACACTATCTTTCCTTCTCCACTTAAGTATTCTACAGTACTATTTCGATATTTCCTAGAGTTTATCTATGCTTTGTTTTCCATTTTTATCTCATTTTTCTATTTTAGGTAGTTTTCTAGGTTTGTCAAAACTAGCAACGGATGATGTTTTGGTTCTCCACTGCAATATTATTATACTTTTTAAATTTCTTTCTATATTTTTCCCTTTTTCATGGTGGCCTGTGGGGTCTGGAGCTAGAAGAATAGAACCTAATATAGCTTAATAAGGATATTAGAGAGATAAGAAATTGTACATGAATGAGGAAAAAAAGTGAAGTACTGACCATTGCCCTTTCTTTTTTTTGATGACATATCCCAAAATAATTCTAAGTTATGTATATTGATAGTGCATACATGAATTATTATTTTTATGTTAGATCACTGTATCAAATTAATATAAAGAACTGCCTATTATTGTAGGTAAATTTAATTTGATGGTGTAAAACATGGATTAAAGTTATATAAATTAATAGTATAATATTTTTTTATACCATCAATATAATTTAATCTATTATAGCACGTCACTTACTATTTATTCTAAGTTATCAATCAATAATCTTAAATTGAATTACTTCAAATGCATATAACTTAAAACTTCAATACAAATTTTTTACACCGTGGATTTGAAAGTGCTGACAAATTGAACATGGATCAAAACTTGCACCTAGCTTAGTGACCCTTTTTTGGGTTTTTCTAGGTTATTGCCTTTTTCTCTCTCTCACAAACACACATTTATTCATCAGATTTGTGACTTTTATCTTTTTAGGCAATACTCCTATATTTGCCTAGCTCTCACCAGCAAGCAAAAGATTCTCTGTGGTTTTTGCCAATTTTTTAAGTCCTCATTATTCCTCCACCAACTATGCTAATTATACCCTTGGCCTTAAATTCTTTCTTTCTTGAAAATTTTTATAAGACTTTATCACTTCACATATAAGTTTGAAACTTTACTTGTTTCTTGATCATCTTTTATCTCCTCCATCTTTAATTTGTGATTTCAAGGTTATTGTATAGAGGAGATGGTGAGAGGAAAAACTCAGATGAGGCGAATCGAAAACGCGACAAGAAGGCAAGTCACTTTCTCTAAGAGGAGAAATGGGCTGTTAAAGAAAGCCTTTGAGCTTTCAGTTCTTTGTGATGCTGAAGTTGGATTGATTATTTTCTCTCCTAGAGGCAAGCTCTATGAATTTGCTAGCTCAAGGTTAGATATTTCTTGCATTTCTGTGGTGTTTTTCATATTAAAGAATAATGCATTTTTATGTTAATTCACTCCATGGAATTTATTGTTTTTCTTTAGACTATATATGTTTGGGGGAATGTGATTTTCTTTATGTTTGTAAACGGATCTCATCCTCTAACCTGGAAAATCAAGCCCAAATTAACTATGTAAATGATGTGAGTTTTTATATGTAAGTTTTTAAGTTCTTTTGGTGACTTTAAAAACACTTACAAAATATAATGAACACTAGTATATATGATGACTTGAGTGACATTCTTTCATGTATAACTAAATGAAGATAGTACTATCATTTATGGAGAGTAAGTTTTTTGCACAATAACATGTAAGTTCTTTGATTCTGTCCGTCTAACAATCCTTGTTAAAAGATTGCTCTAGAATGTCATTTTGTCATTCATTGAAGTATCATTTTTCCATATGAATTCTTGGTTATGCTACTTCTAAGTCAAATAAAGTGAATATCACAAGTCCCAAGTTTTCAAGATAGTTCTTACCATAATATAAACCCTAGGGCATAGGCGGAGTTACAATATTAGGTAACGGTGGAATTTAGAAGCTTTTGTTTAAACTTTATATTTGTTGAAAGAATTTATTAAATATGTATAAATATTTAATTACAAACTCAGTAACTAAAACGAGTTAGGAGTTCGAGAGCTAGTTCTGAGCTCATAAACTTTACATTCTGACTCCGCCTTTACGTACTACGGTACAATAATATACATTGTTAACTCATGTCTGGTTTGTTAATTGGATTAGTGACAGTGGAAAAATATGCTTGATGATGAGGCCCTGATCTTATGTACTGTTGTTTAAAGTTTAGACATTTCTCACCTAGGGTTAACAAGTGTGGTCATCAATGTCATTCTTTACATTAAACTTGATAAAATAACCATAAATAACTGACAAATTAAAGTTAATAAAATACAGCGAGAGAAAGTGAAAAGAATACTGTCTCATTAATTGTTTAAAGGGGTAGAGAGGTAGTACTGTCTGTGAACTTCAAAGCTAAGTGTAAGGAGCCAGTTGTCAAGTTAGTACTTGATTTCATGATCACTGTCCTTCCTTCTGAAAGCCATACTCTTTGGCTGTTTCCATTATATAAACACACCTTGAGAATCTTTTGGGCAGAATTATTTGTACTGCGTTCAATCCAGATCCCAAACCACTGCGTGGCTTCTGCATATATGTAGAGTTTAACAATGCAATTAATATTACCTAAAAAAATCTTGCAAACAACTATTCACATTAGGTAGAATTAGTTATATAAAATAAGACAGATAAACTGCTACAAAAGGTAAAGCTACCGTAATAGTGTGTATAAATTAATTTGAGTTTCATTGGAGTGTAAAAAAATCCGATCGCATAAACAAACAGTGGATTATGAAACATAAGATGGATTTATACATGTTAAAACATATTAAAATATAGTGATAATATAAGAATATCAGTACATACTTACATGTATGTAAGTTAAATCTAAATATTATATATTATTAATGTTTGCTGAATCCTCCATGTCCTTTCTTGTCTTCAATGTTCTTTGGGGCGAGTATACCCATGTACACCCCACTTACTGTATCCATTAAAAATGCGAGAGAATCCAACTTTGACAATGTAAAGATATCCCTCAAAAGTCATGCTTCCATGACTACAGACACGGGAACAAACGAGAAGCCAAAGGTAGTTGATAGTTCCCCCTTTCAAATATCCTTTCTGTTCTTTGATATTTCACAAATAGAGCCAGAAATTTTAATAAACGGATTTTAAAAAATATAAGACTGTCACGCTTGGAATTCAAAATTACAACTTAGCATTTTTTGAGTCACCTTTATTGCTACAATAGAAATTTTACTTATGTTAAGCAGATCAACAATTTATAAGTACACACAGATTTTGCCTCAATTGAATCCCTTTGGACCATATATTCCGCCCTTGCTTCTCAGACTGTCTTTGTTTTAATCCATCCATGGCTACATGGAAATATCTAACTAAACCTTCTATAAGATTTTATGACTGCGAGGGGCATATGAGAATGTTGTTATAAGTTTGTGTCTTTGCCAAATACGTAAGTATACGGTGGCCAAGTGTGGAAGAGAAAGGCTTTCCTTCTTTTGTTAATTAAAAAGAATATATACAAGTCAAATAGTAAATTCTAGTCCTAACAAATATGAAAAACTAGTCCTAACAAATACGGAAAAGAAAAATTCTTCTGGTCCCAAACATACAATATATTTACTATCCATATATATACTCTTTATTTACTAACAAATACACACACGCTTTAATACCGCCCTCAAGTGGCGCATGCGGATTACAAATGCCCAACTTATACAAGAGAGAAACTTACTAATATTTTTCTAATGTCTTCGTAAAGATATTTTTCAATTGCTCATGTGAAGGCACATAGCTAGTACGAATGTTCCCACGTCAATCTCGTCAAGAATAAAATGACAGTTCACTTAAATATATTTGGTTCTTTCATGAAAGACTGAATTCTTGGCTATGTGCAATGGTGCTTGACTGTCACAATAAAGATGAATAGGGGAGGTGCAAGCACTCCCAAACTAGATAAAATTTCCTATATTCATTTCACCTCACATATTGTCATTACCATAGAAGAATAGTCAGCCTCTGTAGATGATCGAGAAACGATATGTTGCTTCTTAGTCTTCCAAGATATGGATGAGTCAGCTAACGAAATAAACCAACCTATGAGCGAGCGTCGAGTCAAGGGACAACCAACCCAATCAGAGTCAAACTATCCATAGAGACGTAGATCACATTTTCTTCTAAAAAAAATACCTTGTCTCGGATTCATGTTCAAGTAGCAAACAACCCGTAAAGGTGCATCCCGATGCTCCTCTTTTTATTGCATGAACTAAGATAAAATATAAACACTAAAGGACAGTTCCGGTCGAGTGAAGCACAGATAAATAAGTTGATCTATCAAATGACAATAGCGCTCAGGGTCATCAAGGGCTCGTCCATCCACCAATGTCAGCCGATGATTCTGTTCCAACGGTATTCCCACATGCTTAACTCCTAATAACCCAACCTCTGAGATAATATCCAAAAAGGCATATTTTCATTGGCTCAAGAACATGCCTTCCGAATTTCTGAAAACTTTCACTCGTAGAGAATATTTCAATCTACCCAAATCCTTCATGTGAAAGCATTTGCGAAGATATGTTTTGAACTCATGGATAGCATTGGGCTCATTTCCGGAGATAATCAGATTATCGACATACGCAAGGACATTTACTCGAACTTCACCATTTTTCAGATTAAAAAGAGAGTTATCAGCGTATGAATGCTTGAATCCATAGTCCTCCAAGGCAGCCGACAAATTAGCAAACCAACACCTCGATGCTTGCTTTAACCCATAAGGGGACTTTCGAAGTCTGCACACTTTTCTTGGACTTGCAACTCTAAAACCAAGAGGTAATTTCATGTACACCTCCTCCTAAAGATCCCCATGTAGGAAAGCATTATTTACATCCATTTGATGTAACTCCCAGTTCTTTGTCGCTGCTATAACAAAAAATGTGCAGACAATCACCATCTTTGCCACTGGGGCAAATATTTCATTAGAGTCGATCCCCTCTACTTAATGATTCCTGAGAATAACTAGCCAGGCCTTGGGTCACTCAATTATTCCATTAGAGTTGCACTTTATCTTGTAAACCCACCTGCAACCGAGAGCCTTTTTGTTTGAAGGCAGATCCTGCATTTCTCCAGCGCCTACATTTCTTACCCACCTTCTATTATTCTCCAGCGCCTGCATTTCTAATCTCATTGCTTCTCTCCACTTTCCATCTTTCACAACCTCAGAGAAATAAGCCGATTCATGTGCTGCAGTGATTGCTGCAAAGAGATCCCTTTGTTGTATAGAGAACATATTGAAATTCATATATTGTGTTAAAGGATAAGGCATACGTGAGTGATGCTGTAAAGCGGATGGAGGACGAAACAGACTTAATTTCTTGACAACATTAATAATGTAATCACGCAATCGGACCGATGTGTGTTTTTGGCGGCGGCCGCGTCCCCACTACTCCTCATCTATTATTTCATCTTCCTCAGTTCAGGCCCTACCTCCCGGTGAACATTTCCCTCTATCTGTTTCGTGGTGATCCTCCATGTCAAGCTCGTCTTCACGAGCTTAGACCGATTCACTACCCCCTTCGCTTCAGACTCCTTATCCTCTCCTAGTTCCTCCACATGTATTTTTTTATTTTCATCCCTGATAGTGTTATGTTTTGATGAAGCGAAAGGGAATTCAGTCTCTTAGAATCAACGTCTCGTGAAATAAGATATTCTTTCTTCTCACAAATCATACACCTTCCAACCGTTCTTTCCATAGGGATATCCCATGAAGACATACTTACGACTTCTTCTCAAATATCACCCTTTCTCCCTAAGCTTCGAGCCAGGGGCGGCTCAACGGATCTTGTGGCCTAAGGCGAAATCATATTGAAAGACCCTTAAATTTATTTTATAAATTTTTTATACTAACAACAAAATTTACTTTATAAATATCAAATTAATCATTTAAGATAAACATAATAGCGTATTTCACAAAAACAAAAAAGGAAGAAGAGCACAAAGAATAAAGTGGTGGATTATCGGATGGTGAGGTCTAGAACTCAAAGTGGAAATTTTGATTTTGCTATCATCACAATCAAGAAAAGAAATAAATGACATAGCGTAATAGCTTAAGTTTTAAGCATTAAAGGTGTCAAAAATATTTACTCCCTCTGATCAATTTAACCGATAATTGTAGTCCATTCTATTAATTAGTAGCACTTATTAGTGAATATCTAAAATAAATCATAAATAACGTAACATAATCTATTGAATTACACTAAAAGAAAATCGGTGCATGAATATTTTTGTGTTCATGCAGTTTCAGTGAAGATTGTAAAATACATTTATTACGTTGTTGATATATATAACTTAATTTA